CAGGGGCTTAGGTGGAGAGCAAATGTTTTGAGAATGATGAGGGCAAGGAATGTACAAATGTGCTTTACACAATTGATGTATGTATGGATTGTGATAAGGGCTTTATGAACCCCTAATAAAATGATTTTAAAAAATGATGATGACAACATAGACACAAATGTGCTCAATAAAATTGATGTACGGATTGTTACAAGAGCTCTTACAAGAGCCCCCAATAAAATGATTTATTAAAAAAAAAGGAATGTGAAGCAGACAGAGAGAGTGGCCTGCCTCTTCTGACGGCAGCATCAAGAGAGAGGAAGTTCCCAGAGAAGGCCACACTCACCAGGAGGGATCATCAGGATGTGACCTGATTGACAGGCTAGACTCCACTCCTTCATTCTTTTATCCAGTTGACATGAAATTGTGTAACTACCACATTAACCATATATTCATTGACAGGTTTAATTGTTAACAATAAATCAATAAATTATAGAAGCATATCACTGTTGTGCTAGTTGGCCAGTAGCACTGCTGATACATGGTGACCCTGTGTACAAAGGAATGAACTGCTAAGCAGTGCAGCCCCGTATTGGAAGACATTCTGTTCAGATCCAGAGCGTTTCAGTGGCTGGTTTTCTGAAGCTGATCAAGAGGCCTTCCCTTCTAGTCTGTCTTTGTCTAGAAGCTCCACCGAAACAGGTCTACGGTAGGTGACTTTACTGGTCTTTGAAACACTAGAGGCACAGCTTTGAGGATTAGAGGAACACGTCAACCACTCCGGTACAAGATTCTGACAGCTGGGAGGAGGCTGAAATAGACTCAAAAGTAATAAGTGACGTGAGACAAAATAAAGTGGGGCAAAGGCATGGAGAACATATGTTCAGGGCCACCTCACTGAGAAGGTGACATTTATTTAGAGACTTGCAGGAGGTGATGGAGAGGCCATGCAGATATCCAGAGGAAGGCATGTTTTTAAGAAGGAACCACCAGGGCAACCACCCTGAAATGGGAGGAGGTCAGCGTGGGGCCCGGGAGCCAGTGAAGTAGACAGGTTAGGCATCAGCGTGAGGGGTAAGAAGGATGAACTAGGAGAGGGTCCTGTAGGTCTGGGTGCAGATTTTGCCCTTTCCTCTGGGACAGAGGAAGTAAGAGAGCCATGCAGGGCTTTGAACAGAGGCATGGCATGGTCTGGCAGATCAGAGTGAGGAGTTAAAGGGAACAGCCTGGTCCCTGATAAAGAGTGGGGTTTGAAGCCTGGGGATAAAGACCAGTCAGGACACTATTACAATAATAGTGTAATATAATGGTGGCTTGGGCTTGAGTTTGCATCTTGGCCTTACTGTTTAAGTAGCTGTGTTCCTTTGAACAAGTAACTTACCAAACTTACTCTCCCTAGGTCTCACCATCCTCATCTGCATAATGGAAATCATCTGTATAACGAGCCTCATAATGCCTTCCTTATAGAAAGCTGGGAGGGCTCAAATGAGAATTGTGAAATATAATGCAAGGAGGCTTCCAAAAACTCCTGGGAAATCGGAATAAGAAGATAATGGAATTTCCCCCAAAACGTCTTGGAACCCCTGCGTAAAAGCAATGCTCAATCGATTTTAATCTATCACCAGATTGCAAGCTCCTTGTGAGTGTGGACCATGTCTTATCCATCTTTACATCTATTACTTCATACGATACAATCCTGCAGATATTGAAGGTGCCTAACAAGTCCGTTCGAACACATCAGATATAATATCAGTACACACATCGCCACCTCAGGGACGTCCATTACATTGAGCACATAGTTTGAAAAGGAAAAGTTGGCAACTGAGATTCGTT